GGTTCGCCGGAAAATAACCTTTTTGAGGTTATTTGTATTGATATGAGTTTAGTGATGATAAAACCTTGTTAGGCACTTGTCAAAGGTGATTCAAGAGCTTTCACGAAGTTGAAAGAGTCGTCGGAGTTATCGCCGGAGTTCGTCAAAGTTCGCCGGAGTTCAACCGAGAAGGGTAGAACTTCATCACGCTCATTCGAGGTGAGTGGACGGCTTAATGTCTTATAACTCTTGGGTTAAGTATGAGATTACCTAAGTAAATGTTATAAGTATTCATAATGATGTTTAAAAGAGTTTAAGCATGTAATTAGCCAAGGTAATTATGCTTATGTGAATAAAACTACATGATTATGCATGTGAAAAGTATGAAAAGTGTATAAAAACATTTGTGATGTTTTGGATGACCAAAATGGCATTTATTGGTTGTTTTAGACATGGTATGTGTTGTATAAAAATTTCGGGCCAAACGAAGCACGTTTCGGGGGTCAACTCGGGGGTCAACGGGCCGTTAACCCAAGGTCCCGGACATAACCGGCGCCGGTTATAGGGCATAACCAGTGCCGGTTAAGCTGTTGCCACCGAATCCCGTTTTCGCCGAAAATGCGGTTCGGGGTCCAGTTCGTAGGGGGGATTAACCCTGGCCATCCTATATAAGTATATTATGCATGGAATTGCATGGAATATGATATTTAAATGTTGATATATATTGATTTAAATTCTATGACTTGGTTTAGTCCTTAGTAAGATGATGTAGACTCTATCTAGTGTAATATGTGGTAAGTCATAGGTCGGGTGGAGTACCCAGGGATCGGGCGGTTACCCTCAAAACTCGGTTATAGGGTGGAGTACCCAAGAATCGGGCGGTTATCCTCAAAACTCGGTTATAGGGTGGAGTACCCAAGGATTGGGCGGTTATCAAGCTTGAAGCTCAAGCTTGATATTCTCACCTTGCTCAGTGAAGTGATCTAAAGGAAGACGTGGTTCGTGCTTCCTTTACTGTTTTAAACTATAAACTATGCTCATGGATACTTTGTAATAAATACATTTGTTTTGGGCCTGCATGCCTACGTTTTGGCCATGTGTGGCCCAAGATTGAATATTGAATATTTCCGCTATTCATTCAATCCAAATATGTGAGATGTTGTTACGTATGTTTACTTACTAAGTATGGTATGGACTATGTTCATGGACGCCTTGTGTGACTAAGTCACGTTGACTTGCGAGTGACGTCATTTAGTCATACAGCGGTTGTACACGCGTTTAGATGCGGTCTGGGGTGTGACATTCCCGGTGTGGGCCCCACGTGAATTTCACTATTCACATCAAAAGAAATGACAAAAATTTACAACCACGTAAAATTCGTTATTCATTTCTTAAGGTTTAATACATAACTTAATGAAAGTAAACATACTTGGGGGCGGTGTTACTTCAAAACTCAGACCAAATTCTTCATCTTCACGCGGAGTTTGATCAATGAACCAAGGATGATCGGCATTTGGATTCGGGGCGATGCTCAAATTTCTGACCAATGAGCCAAGGAACAACGACGATGACATCCACGCAGCAGTATCGAAGCAGGGGAAGATGATCGGCATTTGGATTCGAGGTGGCCTGACCGATGATTGTAAAACAAAGAGGGGGGATTACAGGCCCAAAAGAGTGAGTCGGGAGAGGAAAAGGGGATGGTGAAGTGGGAAAAAGAAAGAAAGGAAAGGAAATAGAGGGGGGGGGGGGGTAAGAAGAAAAATAAAGCCACGTAAGACGCCACACACACATTTTAATCTGCAACCGACCATTAACCGAGTAAGACGATGATTTGCCTCGTTTTTTGTGATTCATTGGTTTAATTGGGTGATATTTGCGTTGGTGGGCTTAATTGCCATTTTTACAAAGTACGGGGACCCTATTTGACACTTTTCCCAAATAAGTTGAGTTGCAGGAATTTTCTTATTTGGTTTAAGTTTAAACGATGATAAGTATTACCAAGGCTTCACGATTCACCAAAACACTTTAATATGATTTACACACTTCTTTGCGACTCTCTCTGTCCCGCTTAGTGATGGACCCGATTCGGGCCACCCGGTCCGCTACTGTGCGGGCCCGGCCCGGCCCGGTGCTTCGGGTCCCAAACCGGTCTTTTGACCCGTACCATAGGGTTTAGCGGGGCGGGCTCGGGCTGAAGAAAAGGTGACCCGGCTCGGCCGGGCCCGGTTCAGGCCAATATATATATATATATATATGTGTGTGTGTGTGTGTGTGTGTGTGTGTGTGTGTGTGTGTGTGTGTGTATATATATATATATATATAGATTTTGGTTCAAATGAGAACGAGGCTTAACGTGAGTACGTGAGAACACATCCTGGCCATCCAAAATATATGCTAACATACGATCAACTAAAGGGTATAAAGGGTATATATTGTGGCGGTTTGTGTAACTGATTTTTCGATTAATACGTTGAGTGCTTTATTAGTGGAAGCATTAAATGGAATTATATTAGTAATCATTCGTAGGTTATTTAATTTGGTAAGTATTTGACCGGTCATCATTATTTAAGCTTAGTTCACCTACGTATTTAGTTTTGGTTGGCAATTGACTTTTTGATGTTATTATATTGAATATAATCAGTTATTTTGGAATATTTTGATACATTATAATTGTTGTTATATTTCAATTCATACATATTCATTTCATTTGCATTATATATTCATTCTTGTGCATCACATTATAATATATTTGCACATGTTTCATGTGTATTACATTGATTCTAATGTGTTATATACGAATTATTTGCACAATACTTTTTCATGTGCATTTGTGCGTATGATATTGGCTCTTGTGCTTAAGATACTTTTTTTAATTTTACTTATACGTATTACGTGGTAGATAATGGTTCTTGTGCATTAGATTTTAGTGGTTGTGTGCCTGATGTATATTCATGTGCATGCGGTAGCTGAAGTTGTTTGTTGTGGTCATTTATATACATATTATACTTATTTTTTCAAAACAAAATTATATATGACATATTGATGTCATATGAAAGATACTTAAAAAAAATATTTAATTTGATAAATTTATTCATGTGCTAACATATATATTATCCAAACAAAGAGTAAGATGTTCGGTTCATGTGCTTTAAATATTAATTTTCGTGTGTGATACTGATTCTTGTGTGTTATATATTAGTTTAAGTTGTGTGAAATTCTTATTGTGTGTAGTAGTTTTTAATTGTTGTGTTAGACACTGCTCTTTGTGCATTAGATATTGGATGTTGTGCTTAAGATACTTGTTTTAGTTTTTCTTACACGAATTGTGTACTAGATACTTGTTCTTGTGTGTTATATATTAGTAGTTGTGTGTCAGATACATATTCTTGTGTATGCGTAGTCAAAGATGTTTGTTGTGGTTTATTGTATACATATTATACTTATATTTTTTAAAACAAAATTATATATGACATATTGGTGTCATTTGAAAGATAATAAAAAACTCTTTAATTCGATATAATTTTTGTTAAAATCATATTATAATTAAAAAAGTTAAATCAATTTTTAAACTAAAATATTTTATATGATTTGACCTTTTATCTTTTCCTAATTTTTTGGTAAGTGATAAAGTTCCAACCGATGCCACATTAAACGATTGCTTAAAATTACTCTAGTGTCCTTCATTAGCCTACGTATGGATTAGATAGTGCAAGAGTATTTATTTCATGTTTGCACTCCCATGATAAATCCATGCATCTCATCCTTTTATGACCTTTAATTTACTATGATGTATGGCTAAGATTTGTTCTCACGTTCTCACAATAAGGAGTGTTCTCATTAGAACTACTCCCTATATATATATATATATATATATATATATATATATATATATATATATATATATATATATTGTTTTTTCATCTTTTTTTGGTTCCCCATGGGTTGGGCTGGTGTTTTGGGGGGTGGGGGTGAGGGAGGGGGTCAGGGGGGAGTTAGGAAAGCAAAAAAAAATATAACCAGGCCCGGCACGAACCGGACCCGGTGGATACCCGGGCCGGTTTCGAGCCTCCACCTTAAACCCCAAAAGCCCGCCGGGCCTAGGCCCGACCCGGCCCGGGTCCATCACTAGTCCCGCTAAAATTGTCTAAATTTTACTTTTTAGGAAATCCCACTAAGATTATCCTATACTAAATTTGATAAAATTTGTGTGTTTCTAAATCATTTTTACTTTATTACTCCCTCAGTCCCAAATTGTATGATACATTTACTATTCACTTGGTTAACACAAATCACTTTTAATCTTTTATTTTATATATCAAAAGTTTATGAAATTTGAATTATTTTTTGCAGGTTTTGTAGCGGTTTTAATGTAGTTTCTGAATATGTAAATTTTATTTTCTAAAAATAATTTGAGTGTTGACAGGGATCAATTTGCTTTATCGTCAGTCAAACATCGTAAACCGTAATGTATCTTACAAATTGGGACGGAGGGAGTATTACTTTAACAATACAATACCAAACACACAAACTCATTTTTCTTAATAATCGTGTCACATCTTCATGTCTCAATGTTAGTAGGACAGAGGTAGTAATAGTTATGAATACGGTGTGGCTAATATATCCCTGACTCCGGTTAAGGCAACTGGATTGTGGTTTTTCATTATGTGTAAGTCCCGTTGCGGTTTACATTCATTTACCGAAACCGTGTTGAATATCAACACATCACATGTATCATATAAGGCCGGATATATCTATTCTCGGTGATTTATACGTTTATCGTTTAGTGTTAAGTTCATAGTTTGGCACTCAACGTTAATTGCAAGCATAAAATAAGTATATCATACTTTTAGTATGAATTAATTTAGAGGGTTTTCAAAAATATTATTAAAATGAAACTTTGAGTAGTGAATACTCTTTTCGATACGGTACAACACTAATGAAACTAAGAGATTCTAGTAAAAATAATCTTCGATAATACATTTCAAATCATGTTAGTGATAAATTTCAAACAAGTCTCTCTTTGCTCCAATGTCCCGGATGGAAACTCCTTTCCATAGTGCACTTAAAGACCGGGAAGTTGATGGTCTTTTTCAATGACAATAGTACCCACCAAGACCAACTATACCATTTAATACTACTGCCTCTTCGTTTTCAAAAAAAAAAAAATACTACCGCCTCTTCGTCTTCGACATCCACAAGACCAACCCATCCTCTTCTCCTTAATGATCAGGTCTTCATAAAGTTCTTCCAATTTGACCATAATAATCCTCAAGAGGAAGTTATACAAGTAGATAATCTGGACAAACCATTGCACTGCCTCCTCGGTGAATCTCCCTAGAGAAAACTAAATAGAACCATATGAAGATCTCTTATGACATCCACCTCCTTGGTGAGTCTCCATAATGTATTGCTTATGTAGTTATGTTATCAGCCCGCATCCATATTCAGTCACCAATCTGGTAAGTCAACTCAATCCCTATCGCATGAGTCTGAAGTATGCGAACACGACGTTTCTGGCCTCTACTCTTCTTTCATCTGTTTGCCACCTCCATAGTACGCAAACACTCATCCCAAAATCGTACACAAATATAAAAAAAAAAAAAACTCGGGAAAAACGCATATTTAGTCCCTGAAATAGTCACGAAAATGAAATTTCAGATCCGTATTCTCAAGTTTGTAAATGTCGTCCCTCAATTGTCCTGAATATTGTAAATGTGGTACTTCGAGGGTGAAATATACAATGTGGGCGAGATTACACCCCACTCCTTAAAAGACCACATTTACAACAATTTGGACAATTTAGGGGTGACATTTACAATATCAGAAATACTCATTGTACGAGAGACGCACCAGTGCCACACACCATACCTACTTTTAGATCACCCGGCTATTAGAAATAGATGTTCGCAAGTGGATCACACTTTAAATGTGACGGGTCTTTAATAGGCGGGAACAATATGTGCCATATGGGATCCATTTATCAAAATAAATAATGGGTTCAAGTTTGATTTTGGTTAAACAGAACTAAATATATATTCATATCTAGTAAAACATGATGATCTGGGTAAGATCCGGGTCCAACCCCGACCCGTTGATAGGCCTAATGATGCCTACAAATTCAATTCTCTCCTTCACTATTCGTCTCTTTTTCTCTTATTTGGTCCCTTTTCTTTCTTTTATTTTCCCCATTCAGTGGTGGAGGAAAAAAGGTTTGGGATCTATGGTCAAGTAGAGAGATCTTCCTAGATGAAAAGAAGAAAAATAATCAAGGTTTTGGCTCAAAAAAGAGGGTATGCCCGTCACATGTTGAGTTAGGTTAAAGGACAATAGTCACTAAGAGCCCGTTTGGAGACATCTGTTTTCGGCTTATCAGGCTTATCAGCCAGCTTTTTCACCAAACACGTAACTTTTACTTTCGCGCGCTGAATTGTGTAATAAGCAGAAAAAGTAAGGTTGGAGTTACTTTTCTGGCTGTATTGGCTGAAGTTACTGTAGATGACCATTTTAGCTATTTTTACATATAATTTTTTCTTTATTTTATTAATAAAATATATTTTTAAAATATTTTTTTCTTAAATCAGCAGAATCAGCCAAAACAGCCACTTCAGCCAAAATATCATAAATTTCAGCAGAATCAGCCAAAACAGCCAATTTTGGTGCTACCAAACGGGCTCTAAATATGAATTTCTCTTCTTCTTTTTCTTTTTCATAGATTCTCATATATATATGAGCCTTAAAGGTGTTTTCACTCCTGGATCATACCAGATTAGATCGAACTTAAACAAATCAAACCAGAATAGTTCATACCAAATCAGACTAAACCAAAATTCGATAATTGTAAAATACACATAGAACAGATATCTACTAGATCAGACTATACTTAAGTAGATTAGATCAAATCAAAACAAAAAATTTCAATCCAATTAAAAATTAGAAAACAATACATCAAAATGAGAGGCTGCAAAAGTGCGAATTGGAAAATGACAATAGATCCAAAATTTTGAAAAACAAAAGCCCACAAAGCTTAGCCTTGACCCCAACCAGTCTTTTATTATAATCACATAACATAAGTGAACAGGGGCGGATCCAGAAAATCCATCTTTGGGATTCAAAAAAAATTGGAGGTTGCGAAAATTAATTTTTGAGGGGACGCAAATTATTATTTATATATATCTATAGTTTTATATAGTAAAGTTGAGTTAAAAACTAATGATGTGTCAACATCTTATTGGATAATGCATTAATGCAAATTCTATTATCACAACAATTAAAACAATTAATTAATTCCATAAATCACGGCTATTTTAAAAATCAAAAACCACATCACGGCTGGTTTGGAGGAAAAGAAGGAGAAATAATCTCATTTTTTAAAGTGATATAACTTTTATATTCATAATCCAATTTTTACAAAAAAATATATCAAAATTCATAATTTTTTATGATCTTTCAGATGACACCAGTATCAAATATACAAAAAATTAAAAACACTGAAATTGCTGACATGTCAATATCTTATTGGTTAACAAAAATTAAATTATCATTATTATTAAAACACTTAATCAGAGCAACTAATTGTAAAGTTAGAGAGAAAAACGTGTGCAGGAGGAAAACTAGGAGAAAAACTAGAAGAAAAAAGTGTAGAGATAGTTAAACTTGGGCCCACACACTAAAGTATTAGTTTAACAACAATTCTGCTAATGCGTATGTAATTATTAATTAATACAAAAAACTAGCTAAAACCGTTTATGGAAAAAGCACCAGAAAAAAAGAAAAAAAAAAGCACTAGTATGTGTGTGCATATTCACTCGGTCATCTATAACATCATTATCTCTTAATCTTTAATATTTTTCATAGTATTATTACCATTCATTGTTCATATAGAAAATCTAATTTTCTTTTAATCTTCACTTTTAGGTATTAAATATTTATCTCATTCCAATTAAAGCCGGTTTGATAGTCCTGTTTTTCGATTTATCAAGCTTATCAGTCAATTTTCTAACCAAACACGTAATTTTTTATTTCGTACGTTGAACTATATAATAATAGAAAAAATAAGACTGTAATTATTAATCTGGTTATATTGGTTAAAGTTATTGTAGAAGCAAATTTTAACTTTTTATTTGTATAATTTTCTTCCTTATTTTGTTAATGAAATATATTTTGAATATAATTTTTGCATAAATCAACAGAGACCAATCCATCCACTTCAGTTAGAACTTCATAAATTTTAGTAAAATCAGTCAATACAGTCGATTTGGGTTATTACGAAATGAGCTCTTAATTTTTAGTGTTCAATTCTTTTAGCACATACAACACTTTTCACTTTTCATTGTTTTTCTCTCTGTCAATTATTTTCATTTAATTTTCTTTTATAACTATACAATAATTATTACTGAATTCTTTTAAAAGTAAATATGAATAGAAACAACTTTATTGAGAATTGTAGTGCCTATGGAGCTAAATAGATGATCAATAGTTTTTGTTTTTCTTCTTGGTCACTAATTAGCTCGACATGATGATTCTGATAGATCATGCTCGAATAAATATTGCAGTTAATGGATAGTGAAAGAATATATACACATCTACAGTGTACCTATAGATGTGTTTTATCTATTTTGTTTTTTAAAAGTGTTTTTTTAAAAACAAATAATGTGCTGTCATTTTTCTATTTTTAAAAAATTTAATTTTTTTTAGTTTGTAGTCCAATTTTTTGTATTAGTTCTTAGTTGTTAATGTCCAATTTTTTGTATTATTTAAATTTTTAGTTGCTGAATTTTATGATTACTACAAATTACAATATGAATATCACATTGAGTTATGATCATGGTAGAATATAATAGGAAGATTTTTATAATGTAATTCTATTTTGGTAAGATAAATAACATGGTCACATTTGCGTATTTAGGGATTACTTTAGGGCTATTGTCTCTACTTCTACTACATTAACATCTAAGTTTTACTATTTATACATTGTCCTTTATATTTTCACATCAGGTGTGTATTTTGTTCATGGCTTTGGTGGGTCCGGGAAAACATTCTTATGGAATACACTAGCAGCATTTGTGAGGAGTAGATGAGAAGTTTTACTTACAGTTGCTTCAAGTGGCATCGCGTCATTATAGCTTCCTCGTGGTAGAACCTCTCATTCCAGGTTTTCGATCCCTCTGAATATAGTTGAAAATTCAACATGTAATATTAAGCGAGGGAGTTCGAAATCAAGGTTATTAATAGCTACAAAATTGATCATCTGGGATGAAGCGCCAATGACTCACAAATATTGTTTTGAAGCTCTTGACAAGACGTTAAGAGATATTTGCTCAGTGGTAAATCCAAAGAATGAAGAACTGCCCTTTGGTGGAAAGATCGTTGTTCTTGGAGGAGATTTTAGACAGACACTACCAGTAATCCCTAAGGGCACGCGCGAGGAAATTGTCATGGCTGCAATAAATTCATCATACTTAACGGATTTTGTTCAAGTCATGCGTCTGACAATAAATATGAGGTTGCTGCAGAAAAGCAACATTATTGATAAGCAAGAACTTGAACGATTTGCTAAGTGGATATTACAAATTGGCGAGGGCACTATCGGCAGAGAATCTGACAGAGGCATTGAAGTTGAAATACCCCATGATTTGTTGATCCACTCGAATGGGGATCACTTTAAAGCCATTGTTGACAGTACTTATCCAGACTTGCACAACAATATATCAAATTTTGACTACTTGGACAAGAGGGCGATCCTGGCACCTACTTTGGAAATAGTAGAGGGTATAAACAACTATATCCTTTCAATGCTACCCGGACAAGAAGTCAAGTATTTTAGCTATGATAGTATTTGTCCTACTGCAGCAAGTACTTCCAGTTATGATGACATATATCCTCAAGAGTATTTAAATAGTATTTCAATATCTGGATTGCCAAATCATGCGCCAAGCCTCAAAATCGGTGTCCCTGTAATGTTATTGCGCAACATCGATCAATCAGCAGGTTTATGCAATGGAACACGAGCTGTGATAACACAATTGGGGAAACGAGTCTTGGAAGCCAAAGTCCTCACTGGACCTAGCAAAGGGAATAAAATTCTGATTCCAAGAATGAATCTATGCCCAACAGATACAACATTGCACATAAAGCTTCAGAGGAAACAATTCCCAGTTTTAGTATGCTTTGCTATGACCATCAACAAAAGCCAGGGGCAAACATTAGCACATGTTGGACTATATTTGGAAAAAGGGGTATTCACGCATGGACAACTATATGTGGCTGTTTCAAGAGTGACCGGTAGAAATGGGTTGAAAATTTTGTTGGGTGGAGAAGGATGCAATACAACAACAAATGTTGTTTACAAAGAAGTCTTCCAAAATGTGTAATTGTTTTAAGGCACATGAGTAATATGTAGCACATTAATATTTTTTACTTCACTCTACCTTTTTTTATTTGCATACTATGAACTTTTTTTCAAGATATGTGCTAATAAAAAAAATGATAAGTAAAACTGAAATAATAATATTAAATCAGACACACATCAATCCTTTAAAATTCTCTTTCTCATTTGTAAACAAACTATTAGTAAACATAATACGGAGTAATAATTTTGTCAATAAAAAAAGTTATTAACAAGTTCTTTATAAATATATTGCGCAATCTCTGATCTAATACTACGTAAAACACTATTTTAATTCATATTAACATGACACTGCCGGGGCATGCCCCGGGTGTTACACTAGTATATATATATTCTAAAAAAAAATTGTTGGACTCTAGCCCCAAGCGAAATCAACAACACACCGATCCCTTTGTTAACGTTAGGCTTTTCAAGTTGCCGTTGGAGGCAAAGCATCGAAATCACCAAAACCAGGACACCCTATACCTACTCACCTCACCTCACCCCCACCCCATATTTCCACTGGGAGTATAAGAATTCATCTCCACCAATTGCAGGGTCTGAGAAGAACCCATCAGGCCCCAACAACATCATGGTGTGTTTCCTGTCATGTCTGGGTATCACAAACAAACACAAACGCCGCAAGTCCAGCAAGAAAATCCAACCAACATTCAACAAGGTAAGAACCCACAACTTCTTCCCCTTCCAATCAATCAATAAATGAGAAAGAAAGCTCTCTCTTTTCTCTCTGGTTTTCTACAGTTTCCCTTTTGCAATTTAGGTAGCTGGGAAGTACACACCTCTAGACTGTAGAATACCAGATGAACCACATTCACAAACCAGGTATGTGCAATACTAAGATTTGGGTCCTCACTTCTCAGTACATCACTCTTTTCTTTCTTTCCCAATATTGCTGAACTTATACTGGTTTAAGTCATTCCACTAAATACAAGATCTTGATGAGTTTACTTTGGGAAGAAATCCTAAATCTGAATATGAAAGTTCTTGATTCTTGGTGTTATCTTCATCTTCTAAATGTTACTGTAGAAATCTAGTAAATAAAAATGTGAGCTTTATGCGGGTTAAGCAGGAATACATGGAAAGACTCACGGGCTCTTAAGGTCAAGAAAAAAGTGAGCTTTAATTTGAATGTCCAGATCTATGAGCCTTTGCGGCAAGAGTCGATTAATTATGATTTTTCATCGGACGGCCTAGAGAAGCTGGATTCGGAGTACCCTTCAGATTATAGGTACTATAGTTGCAGGGATAGTTTTGATGATGATGTTGATGATGACATAAGGCTTGATGAAAGTGATCTTGAAGAAGAAGAAATTGATGAAGAAGAAGATGGTTTTGGAAATGAGAATGAATTGATATTAGGCCAAGGAGACAATGGCAGGACTAGAAGTAGTGAGTATTTGGATTGTGTGCTAAAACCAGTTGAAAACCTCACACAGTGGAAAGCAGTGAAGGGAATCAGTTTGAAAAAGAACCAGAAGGAGAATATTAGAGGAAGAGATGAAGAAGGTGAAAAGCCTTCAATTCCAAATCCAGTTTCAGATCCTTTGAAATGCAAACAACATCAAAACAAGAGGATACCCCTTCAGGTCGATGCTAGTCTCTCAAACTGGTTGATATCAGCAGAAAATTAGCCACTGTGTGCCTAGCTGTTTCCTTTGTGGCTGTTCTTCTTCTTCTTTTTGCAATTTTTGTTACTCCATTTATTGATTCTTTTCTTTATTGTTGCTTGCAAGTGTGATATTGTAATATGCACCATTTTCTATTTGTATTTGTTCTAATTAATTGCTGTTAACTACGGAGTATTACACTGTGATGTGCCACTTTATTAGTACCTACATTGTAATTGTAATATGCGCCTATAGAATATTCCTTTTGTTAAATGTAAGTGAAATTCCCAAAAATGTCCTTATCTGTTAAACTAAATTGAGTAGTACTACGTATAAAATAAGAGTACATCAACTGAAAGTTTCCAGGCATACTCCAAAAGTATTCGAACAAAAAATTAATGTTATTCCAAGCTTCCCCCTGTTTTTCTTCTTTTCTGCTCTAATTTCAATTGCCATTCGTACATCAAAGGAAAATTCACTCGACTGTTTATTTGAAGTAGGGGTGGGCAAAAATACCGAACCGGCATGGTGTCAAACCAGACCGATATGGTACCGGACTGAAAATAGGACTTGAAAGGGATCTCAATTTATTTTGTCGCGAACCAGATCGTACCGGTTCTAAACAATGTCATGACCGGTTAAACTTTGCACTACTATAGTTTATATGAAATTTAATAATTATGTAATACGGAGTATGATTGATAAATTGTGTGGATTTTTATAGGATGACTAAACTTTAACTTCCACTTAAACACTTGGAAAAGTGACATTGTTTGGTATTAATATGATATGGTACCATCCCGTTCGAAAATAGAACCGTACCAAACGGGTTTAGGTTTAAGATCGAACCGAACCGTTTCAATAGTCACGATACGGTATGAGTTCGGCAAAATACTAGACTGGACTGGACCGAACCCCCTAATTTAAAAAAAAAATATGTAGAAGAGAGGACGTAACAAATAATCCCTACCAAGGGTATTATAGTAAAAGAAATAGACATTTGATGAAAATGTTCACAAAAGGGGAAGATTACAACATTAATCGTAGCTGAAGGGGTAAATAGTTGACTTTTAAAAATATAAGGTTGAACTAATAATTATGATGATCATAATTTTCCGGAATATTTTTATTTGTTCTGATTGTTGTTAACTACTCCGTATTACATTACTTGTTTGTTGTTTCTCATCTACCTTCTCACTTTTTTCCCTTGTTATCTTCCCATTGCCTATTTTTACTATTCATTATTTTATGAAACAGTTAAAATATCATGATAAAAATATGATATCAAAAGGAGTCATATTGACTCATATAGTTAATTCATAAAAAGATTTTGCTACTCAACCCAAAAGATGATTAAATTTTGAGGGTAGTTCTATTTACCGCCCCACTATTTCTATTCACAGTCACTTAAATTAAAAACAATTTTTAATATTCAGTTTACCCCTGAACGCTGGCCTCGAATTTTCCTTACCTCTGTATCACCATTTTTAAACACTTCTCGAGGATGGCGATGCAACTTCCAGACACATCGGCAAGGAATCGAGGATCAACTTCTTGATTGTTTGGGAATTGAGGTTAGAGTAGTTTGTGCTTCATCCAAAATGTTGAATTTTTCACATACATGAAAGTCTTCGACTAATATCCATTGGAAAAAACGTGTTTGCCTTGTTCGATAGTGTGTTGACTATTGAACAACAAAGAATTTTATAAGCATTGACCCAGATCTTCTGTTTCTACCTCGCATCCAGGGCATTCATGGCAACAGGGAGATCCTTCTTGTGGCAGTATGCAACATGCTTCTCAATCAATGCATCAGATAACATATTTGATCCATAATTTGCATCAACAGTACACGAATCGGGCATTTTTGCAAAAGAAACTGCATGTAAGCATTGAAAGAGAGAACCTATATCTACTTCCGATGAGCCGCAGGTCGGAGGCCCATGATGCAAGCCGGAGATGATCCCTAGTCAGGTTTGCAGTAGCCGCTCCCAATTTCGTGGGAGCCTTCCCCATGGCAACCGTCGACCGTCACCAACAGGTGGAGCTTTCCCCGATGATGAAAGACTGGGAAGTTCGTATGCGTACAGAGGAGATAGAAGGGCAAAATAGATATTTAAAAAAGAAATATTATTAAAACTTTAATTTTCATGGCTATCATTAGCAATTCTGCGTGTGCGAATAGAATCACCCAAATTTTAAACCCCGTAGAAGTGTTAGTTGTCTCCTTTTCATCGAAAAAGTAACTCAGATTGTTTTTGTTGGATTTATGCCTCGAATCTTCACCGGTTTAGACTAGAATTCTGTTTTGGGTCTATTCTATTTATTTGGGCCTCTTCTAATTTTGTGTATTAGGTCTTAGAGAGTACTATATAAACTCTCTAAGCTTAACCCTGGCAATAAAAAAATCATACTAACTCAGAATGTGTAATCTAAAACTCAAAAAACATTAATAAACCTATCCTCCCTTTTGTCCTGTGGATGTAGCTAACACACTGTTAGTGAACCACGTAAATCTGTGTGTTGTTTTCTTTATCGTTCTTTATTTTTCTTTCTCGTTTCTGTTATAACAGTTTTCTTAAATATTTTTAAAAGCAAAATCAATTTTGCAACATGCTTAATTAGTATGTAGTACAAAGTATTTGGTAAACTAAAAAGGGTACTACGTGCTATACAATGTTATGGATATCACAATATTATTAAACAACTTTGTTTGGTATAGAGTTTCATATAAAACCAAAGTACTAGGTGTCTAGGTATGTAAATACCACAACAACCGAAGTATAAGAAGTTCTAGGTGGTTGGGAACTGGGTGCAGTTGGTGCACCGTGCAAAGGAACGTGTATAACGTACAGCCGGTTGTATGGCGCAAGCCGTATAGCCGGTGGTATGGTGCAAGTCATACAGTCGGTGGTAATTTTGCAATTTTGGTGAAAATTATCATTTCTCTTAAATGAGATTAATGCAATTCTAATGAGCATTAGAATTACCTATTCTGTTGAGTTTAGGAGCCTAACAATGAGCGTCGTGGTCTCTGCTTTATATATTCTAATTCTATTTCTTTTTCTTTTTTTTCTTTTATGAAAAAATCTTAAATTATATTATAATGAACTCCAAAGAATTTTAATATGCAAATCTATTGTAATACGGAGTATGATACTTTTTTAAATAAGCATTAATATGACATTTTAAAATGAGCATAACATCAATATCAAATGAGCATACATAACTTATAAAATGAGCATTAATATGAAAAAAATAAGCCTTGTTAGTTGAACATCAAAACTTTTTTATTGAGCATTAAATTCTCTTTATTGAGTATTAGAAGCATGCAATTGAGTATCATGGTATCTGCTCGCGTGCCTGTAATCAACACTCATGTGAATCAGTGATTCTAATGTAGTTTGATAATTTTGAAATATTCACTAATATGACATTTTAAAATGAACCTAAAAAGATGAGCCTCATTATAGATGTACACTAATATAACATACAAAGTACATTAATATGATGATAAAAAGTTAGATAGTCTTCCATCATCGAACAAAAAGGTCTCCCTAGACTCACTCAAATAAGAAACTATCATAGGCACTTGATATAAAGAAATTGTCTCAATATTTCTTTTGTCTACAAATTGTCTTCTAGTTTTTTTTTTTGTTTGAAACAAATTAATCTACTCCTATTTTAGGAAAACATGTGATTCTTATAATCTCACTCATTTCTATCGAAATCACAAACATACCTTTTCATTTTCAGCCACGCTTCTTAGTAACTTAGTAAGTGTGTCAGGTTAAAAGAGAACATAATCCGATAATAGTACAAATTTAATACTCATTGTAGCATAATGTAGGATTTTAGCAGGATAAAATTATTATCAATGTAAACAACTACAATAAACGGTCAAATGCATTTTGGTAATAGCTTAAGTAACATTTTGTTCAAAATCTCAAAACAGTTTTGGATCAACGGATAGTTACTACTCCGTTTCAGGCAGTAGATCTTTCAAGGTTGTTTTAAAGAGAAAATTGCAAGGGAAATAAAAGAAAAATACTCCATATAAATAAAGAGAAGATTTATCTATTTTGATAGAAAAGTAAAGCACATATTAGAAACTTCAAAAAGGATCAACTAATTTCTCCAAAAAAAAAATGAAATAATTGCATAAATATGACCAAAATAAAGCTGATTTACAAAAATAGGATTAGTTACTGGAGTAGTAATGAAATCATAGTAATTCATGTTCAAGTTTGAACTTTAGTTACCACAACACTACGTTGTAGTAATGAATAATAATATTTATGTAAATAAGTTTTATTTTAGTAATATTCTTGTAAAAAACCCACCTATTTTTTTGGGTTTTTTACAAAGAAGCCTGAAGTAGTTTCCAACCATTATTAGAGCATCTTCAATGCTAAGATGTGCACGATGCACACGTGGCATGAAAGATAGCCATACAAATATTGACAAATAAATTATTTCTCTTCTTATTTGAATGATTTTATACGGGTTTGGTAAGTTTTTCTCGACAATGTCAAGAAGACCATCTAGATGTTGACATTCTTGTTGACATTGCAAAGAAAATCTTACCAAAATTGTATAAAATCATTTAAATAAGAAGAGATATAATTTATTTGTTAATATTTATATGATTATCTTTCATGCCACATGTGCATCGTGCACATTATAGCATTGAAGATGCTCTTAATAAGAAATCTAAGCTGGGTGCTGAGTTTGGAGAGAAATATCAAAGGCAACATAAATGGCAATTTTGTCTGAAGATGCCTTTCTATTTCCAGCCTTACATGGAATGTCGGAAGAGTTGATACCAAATGATTTTTTTTTTTTTTTTTTTTTTGTAATTTTAACCCGATACCAAATGATTAAGACAGAGAGATTTGCTGCATCTGAACTATGCTTGAGTTCCATAAATGCTAAATAAATTAAATAAGATGTGATACAGTTTTTTTCTTTAATATTTGGCTTTATCTCAAAAACTACTAAGAAAAAGGAAACACGAATCATTATGTAATAAATAATAATATCTAAATGTTTAGATTGCTTGATAGAGACTTTACGAATATGAAGATAAGAGATAAATACTTCAATAAAGTGTATTCTAGAAATAGGGTTTGTTATTAGTCAAGACTGTTTGAGCTAATAACTAACCGGGTGTTGACCTGTCCTACTATAAATAGAATAAGCATTAGTAATTGTAGGGATATGCTGAATTTGATTTGTAAACTGTACGCAGTCTGTTGCCTTAGGCCTTCGGCCATTGTTGCCTTTGAGAAT